GTATAAATATCAGTATTTAAATTGGGCAACTGTCAGTTTTCAGTCAGCGCATAACAATTACATTGTCCATGAAAATCAGAATTGTGCTACCGGTGAGGGAGGAAATGTATATTTATTATTAATATAAATTTTAGATATGTCGTTATACATCTAGCACTATTTCATTAGCACCAGAACTACGATATTATATATATGAAGAAATATAGTTTTAAGATGTGCTATATTTATAAAAAAGTGCTCAATATCAGGGAGAGAGAGAGAGAGAGAGAGAGAGAGAGAAGAGAGAAGAGAGAGAGAGAGAGAGAGAGAGCAAATATAAAAGTGAACATTGAAGGCGGCCTGACGATTGCGTCTAGCATGAAACAGCTTGTTGCGTCTGAGTGTTGACTTCAATGTTTTTTTATATATATATATATATATATATATATATATATATATATATATATATATATATATATCCTCGGTAGCGACAGCGTATTCTATGAAAGATATATCGATGACATCTTCTTTGTATACACGGGCAGTGACGACAAACTTACCCAATTCCTCATGACCCTAAACACAGTGCATGACTCAATTAAATTTGACTATGAAAAATCCACAAGATCGGTAACATTTTTAGACACCAGCATTTACATAAATGAAAACAGAAAACTACAAACGACACTACACACTAAAATCACCGACATCCACAACTATCTACACTTTAAGTTTTCCCACCCTAAACACCTCAAAGAGAACCTTCCCTATTCACCAGCACTTAGACTCAGAACGATATGTTCCAACAATGAAGAACTAAATAAACACATTGAAAATCTGGAGCATCAATTCACAACACGTGGCTATAAACAACACCTAATCAGGGAACAAATAAATAAGAGAAGACACCTTAATGTACAAGATCATATATATATATATATGTGTATGTGTGTGTGTGTGTGGTAGCTTTGTAACTATCCATGATAGAAACAATCTGTAAAAAGGATAAGAAAGAAGAAGTATTTAAATTTACTGCTGGGATTGTTAATTTTCAACATGTCCACCATCATCTCACATAGGTAATACGATTCTGCAGTTCTGGGAAAACATTTTGAGTTGATTTTACATTAATATCTTCAATTGCATCAAATTATTCTAGCTTGCAATTCTAAAGAGCGAGGTTTTGTTGAATACGCATTACTTTTCACATTTCGACATAAAAAGAAATCCAATGGAACAATTCTGAAAAAAAAACTCATTTTGTACTGTCAAGAAATTGAAAAAATGAAAACGTAATTTTGAACTATCGAGAAATTAAAATGGAAACGTCATGTTGAACTGTCAAGAAATTGAAAACATCGTCTTGAAGTGTCAAGTTTTTGCACAAAAAACACCTCATGTTAAACTGACAAGAAATTGAAAAACAAATAAGCATCATTTTAACTGTTAAGAAAGTAAAAACAAACAAAAACGTCATTTTGAACTGTCAAGAAAAAGAATAAAAACTAAAGATTAAAAAACATTTTGACCTGTTAAGAAATTGAAAAAAAATAAAATAAAAGCGTCATTTTGAACTTTCAAGAAAATGAAAAATGAAAACGTAATTTTTAACTATCGAGAAATTAAAAAGAAAACGTCATTTTGAACTGTCAAGAAATTGAAAAGAAAATATCGTCTTGAAGTGTCAAGTATTTGGACAAAAACCCCCAAAAAACTCATGTTGAACAGACGAGAAATTGAAAAAAAAAAAAACAAAAAAACAAAAAAAAAATACCATTTTGAACTGTCAAGAAAATGAAAAAAAACAACAAAAAACAAACAAAAAACGTTATTTAAAACTAACAAGAAAAGAAAAAAACATCATTTTGAAATGTTAAGAAATTGAAAAAAATAAAGATTAAAAATCATTTTGACCCGTCAAGAAATTGAAAATAAAAATAAAACGTCATTTTTAACTGTCAAGAAATTGGAAAAAAAAAAACAAACGTCATTTTGATCTGTTCTGAAAAAAACAAAAAAAAAACAACTTAATTTTGATATGATATGAAACTGAAAAAAAAAAATAAATAAAAAAAACAACAGGTAAAACAAATAATGAATATCAAGCTTCTCATCCTTTTTACAGATTGTTTCTATCAAGTATAGGGACAAAGCTACTAGTATTTTAAATTACGCATGATCTTTATGGACATCTTGTATATACATGCTTGTGTCGATATCCGTGCGTGCACGGGTGTGTGTTTGTGTGTGTGTGTGTGCGCGCATGCGCTTGTGTGTACGGAATTAAAAAAAAAAACAACTTCAATTTTGGTTAGATTACGAGCTGAAATCTTATTCTTTACTTTTTTTTTTAGCGATAACTTTATCGGAATCTGGCCAAGAAATGAAGAGCAACACCGAATCATTTGTATTTTATAGCAAAATTATTTCTGGTTGCAGTATTCACGGTTCAAATAGTTCAGAAGGTTAGACAAGTCAAAAGTAAAAATGCCTACACCAATCTCATTCGACTGATAGATGTAAACCTTTCCGTATAAAAAAGAAATGAAGATGTATGGAGATACATGAACATTATTTTTATATATATATAGTAAGAATCTCAATTAAAATTTGTCCAGTCTGAGAAAATACAATAAACAAATAAAATGAATTGATAGGTTTTCTTTTATGGACTTTAAAATTCCTCAATTTTATAAATATCTCTAAAGAGATAGAAAATAAATCCTTTTCTAACAAACTCTAACTTTATCATTATTAAATGAAGCATTGTCAACTGTTATTAATTTTTGGCAAGTATTTCTTTAATCTTGATTTCAATTGTTTAATTCATAGTGGTAGTATTAATAATTTTATTTACTATTTAATTTTAGTTTTATTTTTTTACCTCAATAGCAGTAGACAGATTCACATTTCGTTCGGTTCATGCTCTTTCCCGGTCGTTTGAACAGGAGTAGCAGTACGTCCCTTATTTCCGGTTTAGATTTCCGGTTCCTTCTAAAGTTTATTCGTACTCTCTACTTCTAACGCCTCCGGCTAAACCCTGAAATGTTATTGGCAATTTATTTTTTATTTTTTTTCCTTTAATAGGAGTAGATGGTTTCTCATTTTCTTTCATTCCCAGTTGCGTCTTAGTGGCATTATCGCCTTGCTTGGGTTGAACTGATTAAAAAAATAGACTAAGGTTAAGTTATTGAGGATTAGAATTTTGGTTAACCGTTATATACGTTGGCTCTCTCGAGATAAGATGACGAAGCGTAAGAATCTTGTCTCTCTTTCAGAACTCGGAAGAAGCAGCAAATCTGCGGAAAAGTCACCAACTTATAACTTAACAAGAAAATGTTCTTATCTCTTAAAGGGAAACTCTCTATGTATACACATATGTACATATTTTAAGCGACAGTTGAACAACTTAACCGGCCAATATTCGTTACTGTTTCTACCTTTTCAGAGGGTTTAACAAGGTTTAATTTTATCTTCATGGTGATGACTTTCATTTTCTTTAAAGTATCGGCATCGGAAGAAGTTATACTACGCTTGGGAGCCATAATGAAGGGCAATAAGTTTCCACAAACACGACACAAATGAAAGAGTGTGAATGCACAACAATCTGAGATAGTGTACAACCAGATACTGACCCACGCTGCCTCGTGTATAAGGCAAACAACGTAAGTCGAAAGAGGATTAATGGAGATTCCGTCGTAACCACGAATCGTCGTAACCCTTATTTGTATTTCGATATCCCATCATGTGTGCTGATAGAAAACACTTGTCCAGTGGACACACACACACACACACACACACACACACACACACACACACACACACATGCATACACAAAATTAGAAAAAAAAAGAATAAAACTTATACAAATTTGTTTGACCTTTATAACGAGAAGTAGAAGACCTACCTGGATTTATAACCCGCGGATATAATCTTAAGAAAAAAAAGGAGATCCGTTGTGTCAATGAAAGACTTATAAAGGAAACTGGTATAAATTTTACATAAGGTATATGAAAGTAAAAAGAAACGACTACTAACTGTAAGCAGACAGAAAACAAGGTCGTCAGCAAAAGAGACAGTTGAAGATGTAAACTACATATTGGGGACGTCAAAGCCAAACAGGTACAGAAATTCCACTACGTAGTTAGGGTCCTAACAGAATTCGGAATATGTGACGCGGAAATCCGTAGCCGCATGGAATAACAAAAGATGCCTTCCAGAAACTGAACATAATATTAAGACAACAGAAAATTACCGTTAGAAACAAAGAAAAGAATGCAGAATTACTATGTAATATATATAATCTCATACATGAGAGCACTTTGACGTGGTGTACAGGTTAGCAAGCTTGTCTCGCTAGATCAATTACGACTGAGTAGTTAGATAGATCCTCATTGGGTACCCCATGCTTTCGACCTTGTGCCACACCTAAGCTTTACTTAGTAAGTCACTATAATCTCATATATGGCAATGAATGTTGAACAATATCGTGACTAGAGGCGACACAGATGTGGGTCTAATGAACAATTCTGGGAATATCATGGACATTAATTATTATTATAAGTTTTAAGGAAGATAGCGGAGAGAGACAGTCGAAATGTCTGGGGCACATAATGTGAAAAGAAGGCTTGGAGATGTTAACACCCACAGGGCCTATGAAAAGCAAGAGAAGCAGAGGGAAACAGCGAATAACCTACTTAACGAGTTTGTGTGAATGAATGTAAGAACAAGGACAAAGAGTGTGAGGGAGAGAAGTCAAAACTTAAGGCAGCAAAAAGAGGAAATTGTGGAGAGCCATGATAGTTCCAGTTCGGAAAATACAAGACGCATAAAAGAAATTTAAAAAATAATAATATAGATTGTGTCGTTTTTTTTTTTTTTTTATTACCATCATTTTAAGATTTAACGCACTTCTGAAACATATTGACCGACTATTTTAAAAGTGTCGCTGCCGTCAATCAAAATCTACAGCTTTTACGGCCATAATACAGATATTCGGGCCTCTGAAGCTCTACGAGGGAATGAGAAGACCATTTTCACGAGACTTTACACGTCACACTGGTTTTCTCTTCGAGATGTTTTAAGAGATTAAAGTAGTATTGGAAAATAGCGAGAATATTCCTAGCTTTTAAAGGTCATATTCATTACGACAAAGGTTTTCATTTTCAGTAATATAAAGAAACAAATCACGACTCGCAATTTCATAACAAACAAACAAATTGAAATAACTGAAAACATCATCCAATGTTCCATAAAATAATATATATGGAATTAACAAATAAAATCACCATACTCAATTGCTTTGAAAATCACTGCGTTTTCTTTTATTTATATGCTTATTTATATATATATATATATATATATATATATATATATATATATATATATATATTCTGTTGTATGGCTATGAGTTTGTGACCCTGGGTTTCACGCGTTTGCGAGCAACAGACAAACTGTTTTTATTTTTTATGATTGGATCTATTTATGCTTGTTTGACTATGTTTTGTAGTGGGAGAAGGAATTTCATTTCGTACTTGCTCGGGATGACACTCTCATATACAGAGACACACTTACATACAGGTGTACGTATTTTAGTCCACTCATATAAACAATCTGAGGCCAGACGCAGATACACACATTCATGCATTTGAGAATATATATATATATATATATAATATTAGTGGTTAATATACATATATATATATATATATATATATATATATATACATATATCTAAAATATATAAAAACACACACACACACACACACACACACATATATATATATATATATATATATATATATATAAAATTCCAAGAGGGTAGAATCAGGTAGAACTCAATGTCCAGGACACAGTAAGAATTGGATCGTAATTATGATTCCAATGTAATAAATTATAACCATGTTATATTAGTGTTTACATTTTTTATATATATATATATATATATATATATATATATATATATATATATATATATATATATATATATATATAGAGAGAGAGAGAGAGAGAGAGAGAGAGAGAGAAGAGTTCGCTTTTGACCATGAGACCCTAGTTCGAATCTCACTGGGGTCGAATTGTCAAGAAGGTGATTTCTTGATGTCATCGGTCTGGAGGAGGCGATCGCAGCGTTCGGCGTCTTCAGAGAGTGCCTAAAAAACCATACCACTGTTTGACCCAAGCCTTGTGAGTGAAATTGGGTAGTCGGAACTCTTGGGTGGCGCCGTCGATGGCTGTACTAGTACGAAGTCACATGTCATCGTGACCGAGCGTTTGAGCGTGCCGTCCTTGTTTCAGATTTTTGCTCGGCATAGTTGCATTTTAACACCCAGATGGACTCTGTGGGTCTTGAACAAACACAAAATACGCATAAGCAAGCGTCTACAATAGAGATTAGCTAGCTGCCCCATTAGATGGGAATCTTTGAATATGAGTCATTAAGTAATATATATATATATATATATATATATATATATATATATATATATATATATATATACTTAAATAGAATGGACGTCATTATTTTACCTTGAGAGGCCTACACTTTCTCAAAAGTTGAACTTTGGCGAGAATCAGGAACAATCAAAGACACATTATTAAAAAGTGAATGAGGAGCGAAATTGGAACACGATTCCAATAGTCGAGTATGTGTAAACAAAAGGACATTTTGTTCGTTCCTTAGGTTTGATCGAGGATTATGAGTAACATTTTGTTTTTAGTCGTTAAATTATTTACAATTAAAATCTAATCATGTTCCAATATTCCCTCCTCATTCGCTTTTTTACAAATGTGTCTTTGTTTCCTGCTTCTAGTCGACTTTCACCTTTGAGAAAGTTTTTGTCAAAAGGGTCCCCAAGGTAAAAGAATGACGTCTATTCTATATAAATCTATTTTTCTTCTTCTGTGGGTACAAGACTTTCTTATATATATATATATATATATATATATATATATATATATATATATCAGATATTTATTTTTCTCATTTCTGAGTATTTTTTTTCTCATTTATCAGTATTTTTTTATTAATATCTATCTATCTATCTATCTTTTTTATCTTTCCTTTCTCTATCAGGGTTTAATAATATCTATCTATCTATCTATCCTAGTCTCTGGAGGCATAAATGAAGTTAATCTAATAGGACTATATATCTTCGACGCTCAAGAATACCAAAAAAAAAAATCACCCCCCACAAAAAAAACAACAACAAAAAAAAAAAACAGCAAAAAAACAAAAAAAAAAAAAAACAATGATACTGTGAATGAAGGAGATTATAGAATCTACAACGGTGTTTTCTTTTGTTCAATTTTTACTGCTGCTTTTCAAATAACTTAGATTTTCGTACATAAATCCTACTCCATCCAGCTCGATTTTTTTAGACTTTTCTACAAGTAACTCTTATGTCATTCGACCGATTCCATCCAATTCTTTCACAAATAGTGACTCCCCCGCCTCTTTGTTTCTCCTTAGTTTTGTTGTGCATTTTTGTTTTCAACACATATTGCTGTAAGCTTTCTTTAACGCTCTACTCGGTTGCTTTCCTTTTACAACCTTTCCAATTTGAGTGGAAGCAACCAACACCTTTTGCCACACACTGTGCGGAATTTTCTTCTTGAAGGTGTTTTACAATTCTTCCCATTGTTAGGTTGACAGCTCTCTTGTTGAAGCCGTCTTTCCTTTCAATAAACCACGTCCAACATGCCGTTAACTTCTGCAAACACACGCTTTTAACTTAAAAATAATCTGCATATTTAAATTTGGGCTAGTATTTGTTCTACTAGCCAAATACCCATCCATCGATTGAATGTCATAGAAGTTCTCTTGCCTCTGTAAAATTTCTGTATAAACAGCATTTTCAGTAAGGCATCTATTTTCTAAAGTTTTTTAAAAAATTATTCTAAGTTCATTTGAATTTCTGGGTATAGCTACATAGAGCTGACTATGCGAAAACCATTTGAATACTTTCCCACTGTTCATATTATTAATATTTTTATTAATAATAATAATAATGAATTCAGCAAACGTTTTATTTTCTCTTCTTTAAATAATTCGAATAAGTTTTTTAGAAAATCTAATTAAACTGATTATTTAAACTTATTTAGAAAATTCTATAGATTTCTTGTTCAACTCCTTTCAACTTTGACTACAACAATGCTTATTATTACGAACGCCGTTAGTTTTCTAACATACAACTGAATTTTGACAAGGCAGATATAAATTAATTCTATACAAACACGTGAAGTTAAGAATAAAATATATGAAGTTAAGAATAAAATCTTATCAACATTACCATGGGTTGTATACGGCAATTTTAAAAATTTGAATTAAAAATAAATTACGCAAAAAATATTTATTAAAATATGCTTTTAAAAATAGGTAAATTGAATATTAGCGCTAATGCTGTATACGCCATCTGTTAGTGATCTTTATAAAAAGCTGGTAAATATTCTTTATGTTGTTCTGCTGGTGTAAGTTTGGACAAAATTCAACCGTGAGCGTATTTATAATTATACAGGCTGTGGCAGAAATACCTGACACATTTTCTTCCCAGGAACACTTGCCAAACAATGACAAGACATTAGTGGCGATAGTGTCTTCATCTGGTTAGTCAAGGAGTCGACCGTAGTCTGGATCATCGAGTCAATGTGAATGATCATTTCCTTAGCTGCGTATTATGTGCTTTGCCAGGGCTAAAATACAGTTTTGAATTTAGGGTTTTCTTTCTCCTACACCGGTTGCAATGCAAGTCTCTCTTACTATTTATTCATAGCTTGGGGGGGGGGAGAGTTGGAGCCATACTTTTCCCAAGGGTATTAGTACGTAAGTGAATGTAATGAACTTGACTGTAATTCGAACTAGGCTCTCTAATTCCGTATTCCGAGTTATCGTGCCTCCTATCTTCCATTTATGTGGGAAGTATTACTGGGAGGTATATGCGGAAAGTATTTCTGCCTCATCTTGTATAGATGCATATTTATTCCATTATATTTTGATGTGACATTTTCAGTTCGTGCTTGAAAAAAATGTCATTAAGTTCATTTATTTAATCGACACCCTTGTACAAATTAAATGAAACAAAACGAATAAATCCATTATTATTTACTTTTTTTGTATTTTCCAATGAAATAAGACTTAATGCCCATTTTAGTACTCCGTATGTCCATTCCACGATGTCGTTCCTTGCAGATTGACCACAGATTCTCGATTGGATTTAAATCAAGATAGTTTCCGGTCCAGTCTATAGTACTTTGATTTGCTCACTGGAAAGGCTTACCAACGTGTTCGTGAAGCGTTACAACTTCGTCCGCTTCCTTGGAGTAACATCCATCACAGACAATGGCCGTAGGGCAAGTAATCGACAGTCGAGACAATAGTGTCTGGGCATGATGAAAATTTGATGCAATCACGGATGACGCAATATTTTTCAAGCCCAAACGAATTTCATCATACACCTCGAAAATTGATTCATATTACTGCACATCACTGCAAATTACCTAATCTGGGGAAAAATAGAAATTGATAACACCCTGTCACTCTAGTGGGTCGAAAACGGAAACTAAAGCGGTTCTTTCAATTAATTTGCACAAAGGCGTGATTCATTTGAGGTACCTTTCGTGAGAGCAGAATGTTGCTGTCATATCTGTAACATGCTACAAAGCAAAAAAATCCCAGCGAACATCCTTAAGTGTCCAATACATTGGAAGGGGACAAAATAATTAGAGATGGTAGTCGAATTTTTTTTAAACGGAAGAGGAGGAGGGTCTTAATAAAAAGGAAAGGGAGATAGGGAAATCTGTTAAAGAGTCCAAAAATGCGAAATTAATAAACTTGGTGTTCGAAGAGTGGTCAGAAAATGTATTTAAAAAAAAAATGAAATTTTCTGTTTCTCCTGTCTGTTAGGCAGCTAGTGATTCTATAATTATTTTCTATGGGTTGCATTTAATAATTAGAGTCTGGGTACCTCGGCGTGGCGTAATGGTTAGCAAGCTTGTCTCCCTAGAACAATTACGATTGAGTAGTGAGTTCGATCCTCATTGGTTGTCCCATACTTTCGGTCTTGTGTCACATCTAAGTTACACTTAGAAAATCAGTATAATAACGTAAATGAACGTTTCGACTTTTTTTTTCTCTCTCTTTTTTTAAACAAACCTTTCTCTCGTTCTTTTAAACAAACCCACTTATGACATAACAATTGACATAAACAATATCCATGTGAATAAATAAAATCTTTGATTAACTTACCCTAAAAACTGTTTTTCGTCTTTCAAGTCTAAATGTATTATTTTTGCCAATCATCCAACCAAAATCGCGTTTCTTGTTTGTAGGAATATCTGAAAAGAAAAAAAACAATAATTTAATTTTGTTGACCTTTAAATACTTTCTGCTTATCATATTACGAAAAACCATAGACATTGGAATTTTGCTATAAATCAACGGTTAGCAAATCAGATTCAAACTTCTTTTTTTTTTAATCATTTCACACGAATCAAAGCGGGAATGAAGATTAGTATTCAAGGGGTTACAGGATGGAAAAGTGAAAGTGAAAGTGAAAGACCGAGAAGAGGGGATGGGTGAGAAAAGCCGAAAAGATGAACGGGATTCAAGAAGACAGAAGATGGCGATTGACGTTGCATTTAAATTTTCGAAGATTGTATTTATCAGGAAAGCAAATAAAGGGGATGAAGATTTACAGGCTGGAAGTGTGAGAAAAGAAACTGTTGGAGTAAAAGTGGCGGTTACATTTAGTTATTTTAACAGTAAAACGGTGGGACCTAGATGCCAATCTAGTAGCACGCTTAAATTCACGTAGTCAGGGAAAAAACGCTCGTCAGAGTAGTTGCCATGTAAATATTTATAAAGAAGACAGCGATGAGACAGTGATTGAAGTCGAGATGCCAGGTTAGGATCGATTATATTACAAATCCTTCTTTGGATTTTTTCAAGAACCTCGAGATGAATAGCAGGAGAACCAAACCAGATCTGGCAAAATTATTCAATGCACGGACGAATGGTAGATTTGTAAATGTACAAGATGGATACTGAGGAGAAATATTTTCTGGCACGACATAGTGACCAAAGTTTCCAGGGTCGATTACATTAGAACAAAAGATCCTTTTTTTAATTTTGTCAATACTAGTTTAATGACTTTGATCCATACAACCCAAAAACAAGAGACTTAAACATAGTATTTTATCAATATAGGTATGATGGCTGTCAAACAACTTGCCTTGCAGATCTATTTTCTAGCTGGCTGAAATTTTCGAATATCTCCGAGTACCCAACTATTGTAGTATCATTGGTACTATTTACATTATTCAGATTATTGTCTTCATCTTTTGAGAAAATATTTATTATAAACGTTTAAAAGATTGTACAAAAAGCTTCTGGAGTCTGGTGAAAAGATCAAACTGAAAACGTTTATTTTCGCTAACTGGGGTAGACTGTTCATAGTTCCAGTTGCCATGTTTAATGGATGTCAGTTGTTAGTTAATCCAGTTAATTCCCTCTCCAAGTTCTCCACTGCCTTAACTTAGGGTATTGAAAGGAAAGTCTTTGGGTTTTGTCACTGGATCTAACAAACGAACAGAAATCCATGTGCCATAAAAAAGCAAAAGAAGAATAAGAGAAAGATGATGAAACTATGAGAGGAATGAGAGAAAGAAAAAAGTGACAAATAACATATTATTAAACGTGGCACGAGGATGTGTTTGAGTATACATCTACCGGCCCTAGTGATTCGAAAGTCTTAAAAGGGTTCAGTTGAGAGATAAATTCATAAAAATAAGACAAAGATGGAGTGTAAAACGGAGAAAGAAAATAAATAAAAGTTGTCAAAAATGAGGATAAATTCGAATAAATAAATTATTTGATAATTAATTCTCATCTCAGAAATATAAAAGATATTGTAGAGACGATAATGGTGACGGGAATAGTAATATTAGTTGTTTCCTTATGAAGTAACATCCGGTATTCATTGACCGAGCAGCCATTATCATTGTCTCTTGAAATATGTTTGCAAGAGACAGATCAGACCGAAAATGGAGAAGTGCTGCCATATCTGGGTTTGTTGACTTTGCTTAATCAAAGATAGAGACACATGGAACAGTGGATGAGATGTTGAAGATCCAGTGATAGGATCCAAAGACTCGAGTTCAATCAATGAACCCAGTAAATATCGGGAACCCTTTAACAGAGAATCCATTAAAGTGCGACATGGAATTGAAGGCGCATTAGGAATAGAAATAAAGGTTGTTCATTCCAAAACCTGCTAAATGTATTAAGAAACAAAAACAGAAACCGTTATAAAATGACGAAAAGATGAGGACAACAGTGAGATTTATGTAATATAAGACAAATTCTTCCTATATGGCAGAGAATTTAGAACAACCAGAAATCATCACAAATAAAAAAGAGACTTCAAAGAAACAGAAATGTTGTATTAACAAGAAAAAGATGCTGAGAATATCATGGACCGAATATGCGAACAACGACGATGTTTTAGAGAAAATCAGAAAGATGGAAATTTCTGGGAAGAAATAATGAAGGAAAGTGGGACCTTTAGGAAAATCGTAATAAATTTAAATGAGAATTATTGGTATCAATTCTAGATAGGGAAATCAGCGGGTTGTTATTTTGAAAAGTCTTTGCAGTGTGAAAAATTTTTATAATCTGGGGTCAAAAATTCTAAGACAAAGATGGCGTTTGTCAAAGATTAAATGAAAATAACTACAGAATGAACTCTTCCTGACACTATAATACTACGCCTTAATTATAATTATCGAACTCTCTACCTTCCAGCAGAACCCGGACGACAGTCGTAAAAGGGGGAAGTCGGGGAGGTTGACCAAAATGTTAAACTTGGGCATTTTTTTAGAAAGGGTTCGGGAATAGACGTTAAAATGGTTTTTAAAAGTGGAACAATATGCTGAACAGAAATGGAAAGCCGAGTTAATGATAAAACTCAAAAGAAGAATAGAGAAAGATGATGAGGTTATGAGAAGGAATGAGAGAAATCTCGTTCGGGGTAAAAGATTACCCGATCTCGTTAAACGTTATTTTTGAGGATATATTTTGTTTGAGCCTACGGCTCAGGAAACCCACGATAAAATGAAAGTCTTAATGAGGAACCTGTGGGGGAGATAGATACTAAAAAAGTCGAAAAGATGGAGGTTGAGAAAAGGAAGAACCGGACGAGAATAAAAGTTGATGGAAATGAATCCCGTTCATAATAAATAACCCGATTTGATAATTACGGGTTCTAACGGAACATAAAATTTTTGGTAGAGACGATAATGGTTCAGGGAAAGTAATATTAGTTGTTTCCTTGTCGCCACATGAAGTAACATGGGAGGGTATTGATATTGACCAAGCCATTATCATTGTCTCTTTGAAATATGTTTGAGCAAAAGAACGCGGACGAGGATCGAAGGACAGAAAATGGAGAAATGACCTACCTGATCTCGTTTCACGGGTTAAACGGGCATTCCTTGAGCTTACGGGTCTAGATAGAGACACATGGAACAGTGGATAACCCTCGTGGTGGCGGTGGCTGGTACCGAATCGATCCAGTGATAGGATTCCAAACCAGACTGACAGTTCAATACCTTCCACATCTTGTATTATTATTTTGTAATATACCTTCGTTAGAACTTGTGTTCGTGTTGTTGTTCTTTGGTTATAACCTGCACCATAACACGGTGTATTCTGCAAAGTCCGCCAGACTGTCGATTGTTTCGTTCTACTTGTAATTATACTTCGAATAATTAAATCAAAATCAAAATATCTTCTTCATACCCAGTGTTGAGAGTTGGCGTTATGCCGAAACGTTTAATTTATAAGATGAATGGCGACAAAAGGACGACTGGAACCCATTTTTTTTATATCACACGATAAATCTCAATAAACACAGACACTCTCAAAATTTATTTATTCTTGCTCGAATAATGTTGAATTAATTAATAGTTGTAATAAAATTAGCCAAAATATTATTCATATAGATAAGACACAAACGTCCGGACAGAATACTTAAAAAGCTATTTTAAACGATCTCATAAATAATACAGACACAAAATTGATAAAGAAATATTAAACGTAAAAAAAAAACAACTTATTTTTACTGCTTTTTTTTCACATAAGAGATATAATAATGAATCCTATATTTGATAGTTAATAATCCTAGTTTGATACCATGTAATTTTGCCGATTTCCTAGGTAGACAAATGCACCGAGTGTTGAAATGGAAAAAAGAATTGAGGCAGTTTGCGTTGAAAATCAGCGTTTGAAGTTTGCAAGAGAAATTAGAATCAGGGTCTTTAACTAGATCTGAACTCCGACGACAGCTTCAGGCGAATACCTCAGACACCGACCTCGTATTAACACAAGCATTTTATTATAATTCTGCTTGTCTATCCCTTAGATCCTTGATTATCCTCTATGTACGTTATATACCCTGAAAATACCTGATAATTTTTTTTAAGCAATTCACCCCAAGAAGGGCAGAAGTGCGGCTAGCACGCAAGGAGTTACAAAGGATTGAGAACAAGAGTAAAGAGACGTGTTTGAGGAAAGGATATAGAGAAGGTCGAGGAACAAGATCAAGGTATCAGAAGAAGTTGATTGTCAATAATGGACTATTCGTTTTAATCGAAAGGGTTAAACGGGCATTTTTACTTGGTTTCACTGGAAAATGAAAGAGAAAAAACCAAAAAGATCGGCCTATTGCCACATGCAACCCTCGTGAAATCGGTGGCTAGATACCAAATCTTTTCATTTAGCCGATATTATTTTTCATATTTTCCAAACTTTAAATATGACCAGTCATTCATATTTATTTCTACGGATATTTTATTATTATTTCGTGTAATGAACTTATTCATTTTAACTTTAGATACATCAGTTGTTGTTCTTTGTTAAAACCTGCAATTTTCACGGATATTTCTAGTTTATATAGATTTGTCAGATTTACTGAATTAGTATACTTTGATTATATTTCAAGAATAATTAAATCGAAAAATCAAAATATCTTCTTCAGACCCAGTGCATTGAGAGTTTGGCGTTATTGATAGCCAAAATTAATTTATAAGATAAATGAATTAATTCAAAAGAACGACAACAATCAAATTTTTTTTATATCAACATAGATTAAATTGAGTATAAACGGCGTCAGACTCTGAAAATTTTTTAGTTTTATTCCAAGAAATGATGGAAAAATTAATTAATAGTTGTAATAAAAGAAAGTGAAAAAATGTTAAAATATAAGAAAATACACAATACTTAAAAAGCATATTTTAAAACGAGAACATAAATAAGAAAAAGAAAGAAAAAATTGATAAAAAAAAAAAAAATAAAAAACAAAACTTATTTAAAAGTTTTTTTATAAAGAGATAGGATAATGATGTATATATTTGATAGTTAATATTGCAAAGTTTGATACTATCTAATTTTTTTTTTTATCTATCTATCTATCTATCTATCTAATGTTGAAATTCAAAAAAAGAATATCTAGGCAGTTTCTATTGAAAATCATTCATGAATCTTGCAAGAGAAATTTTAATCATCTATCTATCTATCTATCTGATCTATCGACGATCTATCTTCAGTCTTTTTTATCCATCTATCTATCGATCTATCTATTCATCTACTCAGTCTTTTTTATCTAATCTACAAGCTTATTTTTATTATAATTCTGCTATTATCTATCTATCTATTAGATCTTTTTGATCTATCTATCTATGTACGTTATATCTTTTTTTACCATCTAAAATACTATCTATCTATAATTTTTTTAAGCATCTATTCACCCTTTTTTTTAGGGCATTCATGCCATTCATCTATCAAGGGGTATCAATCTATTGAGATCAATCTATCTAGACAGTTTTTGAGGAAAGGATATAGAGAAGGTCGAGGAACAAGATCAAGGTATCAGAAGAAGTTGATTGTCAATAATGGACTATTCCATTTTAATCGAAAGGAAAGTTGGAAAATAGGACGTTACTTGGTTTCACTGAGAAAATGAAAGAGAGAAAGAAATAAGAGAAGATAGAAGTATTTAGCATATGTTTCAGTGAAATCGAAAAATCTCCAATTTCAAATCTTTTCATTTACATGCTATTATTTTTCATTTGTACACTCTTACTTCTTTAAATATGACCAGCATTCATATTTATTTCTACGGATATTTTATTGCCATAGAATTCGCCATGAACTTATTCATTCATTAACTTTAGATACATCAGAAAATGAAAATAGGAAAACAGTGAAATTTTCATGGATATTTCTAGTTTATATAGATTTATCAGATTTTTTTTTTATAGTAGGGACACATATTTATCTAAGAATAGATGAGCCAGTGAGGATCGAATCTATCTATCTATCTATCTATCGGAAGACATCTATCCACCAGACTCCCAGAGCATTTATTTTTGTTTAAGCTTATTGCATAGCCAAAATAGTTGGGAAGATCGAGAAGATCGAACTTAGGACTATCTATTCATCCAACAATCAAATTATTGATTATCTGGCTATCTTTTTAGATTAAATTATTCTATTTATTATCTATCTAGATCTATTCATTTTTTTATCCATTTATTCCAAGAACATCTAGATCTATCTATCTCAGTTTTTTCATAATAATCTCAGTCTTTTTTTTATCTAAAATCTAAGTCTTATTTTTATTATTATCATTCATCTATCTATCTATCTATCTATACACTTTTTATCTATCTATCTATCTATCTACACATAAATCTATCTATCTAAAGAAAGAAAATCTATAGATCTAAGTAAAAAAAGGAAGTCTTTTTTATCTATCTAAAAGTTATCTAAAAATATCTAAAAGTCTTTTTATCCATCCAAAATGACAGGATATTTGATCTATCTCAGTCTTTTTTAATCCATCTATCTATCTCAAATTTTTTATCTATCTATCTCAGTCTTTTTTTTATTATCTATTATCTATCTATCTATCTATCTATCTATCTATCTATCTATCTATCTCAATCTTTTTTATCATTATCTATCTATCTATCTATCTATCTATCTATCTCAATCTTTTTTATCTATCTATCTATCTATCTATCTATCTATCTATCTATCTATCTCAGTCTTTTTTTTATCTATCTATCTATCTCAGTCTTTTTTTATCTATCTATCTATCTATCTATCTATCTATCTATCTATCTCAGTCTTTTTTTATCTATCTATATATCTATCTATCTATCTATCTATCTCAGTCTTTTTTATCCATCTATCTATCGATCTATCTATCTATCTATCTCAGTCTTTTTTATCTATCTATCTATCTCAGTCTTTTTTATCTATCTATCTATCTCAGTCTTATTTTTATCTATCTATCTATCTATCTATCTATCTATCTATCTATCTCAGTCTTTTTTTTTATCTATCTATCTATCTATCTATCTATCTATCTATCTCAGTCTTTTTTTTTATCTATCTATCTATCTATCTCTATTCATTATTATTTATCTATCTATCTATCTATCTATGTTTTTTATCTATCTATCTATCTATCTATCTATCTCTATCTATTTATCTATCTATCTATCTCAGTTATTTTTTTATCTATCTATCTATCTATCTATCTATCTATCTATCTATCTATCTATCTATCTATCTCCAAATGTTCAAGTGAAGTTGAACAGATTATGCAAACAATACTTTGGTAATTCAATGTGCACAACATTTCAAATGAATTGTTTTAAAAAAAAGACAAAAGAAACTGTGTTAGGATAATTTTTTCATTGTTAATTTATCAGAACTTTAGAGTATATATATATATATATATATATATATATATATATATATATATATATATATATATATATATGTATTAAGAAATGGACAAGGTCCGACAATTTATTTATTAAAGACATTTTTATGTTTTAACGTTGTTATTTATAGATACAAGTATTTAAGTAAATGCTCTGTTTATGATAATACTGTTTATCATAAACAGAGCATTTGCTTAAATACTTGTATCTATAAATAACAACGTTAAACATAAAATGTCTTTAGTAAATATATATATATATATATATGCATCAACGACAAAACATCTGGTGAGTTTTGTTTATGAAAACATCCATGAAAATCCGAGGACAGCATTAAATAAGTGAACTATTTTTTTATGCGTATATTTGTTTAAAATTTGCTATACTGGGGAAGGATTTTTCAATATCACGCTTTGGGTATACGTATATATCGACAGAACGAAAATAGAATTTTACACTGCATGTTTCAAGCATTTTAATCATCAAACCATATAATTATATTTGAATATGTATGGTTGCTTGCAACCGTAACAAGACTGACCAAAATTCTGACATAACAAATGCTACTCTGATCAAAGGAGAAAAACAAATGAATACATCGTAAATATCGAGAGAGTTCCTTAATCGCAGAGTCTTCTACTATAAATCTGCGCTCTGACTCTTACAGCATTTAACCATTCCTGGCAGAAGTTCTGTTATCACAAAGTGGGAGGATACCTTCTAACAAAAGTGATGGGAAAAAAAAAAAAAGAAAGACTTTAAATCAATTCGGATAGGTATAAAAACAATTTCTAATATCAACAACACTCATCGTTCGTGCGCATGTGCAGTCGTACCAACATAACAAATTTAGTCCGTTAAAGTCATGAAGGACGAAACGCGTCACAAGTAAACTTTTTTATAATTTGTCATCCATTTTTTCCAGGTTAAAGCAATCTTCCAGGAAAATAGTTTTTTCAATTCCAGTGGCTGTTATCACTCTTTCCAGTATTGACATAGGCTTTTTTTCATTTGATTAAAGTATTGTGCAACGTCAACATCCTGATTATGTTATTATTTTCTCTTCGAGTTACACGTGATGTCCATTTTAGTTACTTGGTACAATTTGTTTGTGATTATGTAGCGCCAGTATATGAGGTTCCAAGAAGGATAGTCCTCGTTGAGACGTAAACGCTTCATTCGCTCAAAGCCGTTTTTAACTGTTGATCTGAGAAATTGTATACAGATGAGGGTTTAGTTATTTCTGGATGAGTTTGGCGCCATACTCGACATCCATATAAAAGTCTAAATCTGACAAAGCGATTTCTTTCTTTCTTTCTTTCTTTCTTTCTTTCTTTCTTTCTTTCTTTCTTTCTTTCTCAGTCTGCTCATATCTACCTCGGTATATAATGTATCATTTTGATAATAATAAATAAATTAATTAATTTAATAATTAATTAAAATTAATAATCTTGTTAGCGATTTGATACCTCAGCTATACTGTCTTCCAGTAATCCCCCATCAAATAAAAAGATGTCGGGCTGGTCTCTCGCCAAACAACGATTCGGACTTCATTTACTTTCCCACGAATCAGACTGATTTCTCTAAAAGTATTCCAGATAAGCAAGTAAATAAATCGTAAAATAAACGAAAAAAAAAAAAAAAAGTAAAAAGCAAAAAAGAAGCAGCTCAACACATTCTGCTTTTTCTCTCTAAAATAATAATAATAAAAAAAAACACTTTTCAGATAAAAACTACTGACTAAACGTCCAGTTGTTCTGTTACCTGCCACCCACCCACTATAAAGAAAAAAAAAATGAAACGATATTCATAAAAATAAAAAAAAAAGTTTTTTTTTTGAGTCTGTTTTAAAAGTACCACCCAACTCGACACATAAAAAAACACGTATATATTCAACCCCAAAACATATTAATACGAGGGTCATTCAATAAATAAGGTGAGTTTTTCGGTATAAGGACTTCTAATACAGATAGAAGCTTACTTTTTTTTAAAATTTTTTTTGCTTTACTTCTTTTTCACGTGGATTTAATTTCTTTTGCAGATTAAAAAAAACAAAAAAACTTTGAGAGTTTTGACAATTAATAAAGATTGCCGACCAAGAAGCATGCTCCAGAACTGAACAGCGGTCAGTCATCAAGTTTTTGGTTGCTGAAGGGTGCAAACCAGTTCAAGTTCATAGGAGAATGTCAACTGTGTAAGGTGCCACATGTTTCAGCCAAAAAATGTCTACAAGTGGGCTAAATTGTTTAAAGAAGGAGGGAGCAGTGTTGAGGATGAAGACAGGCCTGGAAGGCCTGCAGAAGTGAGGTCTCCTGAGGTGATCGAATCAGTCAATGATGTCATTCAGTCTGACAGAAGAACTACTGTGAACTGCTGAGGCAGGTCAAGAAAGACATAAAGAACAAAACGCAGGGGTCATCAGTCAGAAGGAGTCATCTTGCATCATGACAACGCAAGGCCTCACACAGCAGCCCAAACGGTGCAGACCATCAACGAGCTGGGCTGGGAACTGCTCCCTCACCCCCCTTACAGCCCAGACCTTGCCTCTTCAGACTTTCACCTGTTTGGTCCCTTGAAAGCGTTCACGAGAGGCACGAAGTTTAAAAGTCACGATGAAGTCAAAAGTGTTGTGAGCGACTGGCTGAGACATTAGTACAAAGATTTTTACGCTGAGGGAATACGGAAGCTTGTGCACAGATAGGAAAAGTGTGTGACAGTGCTGGAAGACTACGTTGAAAAAAAAGTAAGCTTCTATCTGTATTAGAAGTCCTTATACCGAAAAATTCACCTTATTTATTGAATGACCCTCGTATATTTGATTGTACGTACATGATGCGTTTAGTAATTTGCTAAGCATAGTTTGGTTGTGGCACAAGACCGAAAGTATAGAGTACCAGTGAGGATCGAACTCACGACTCAGTCACAACTGATCTAGCGGGACAAGCTTACTGACCATGTCAATGTGCCTGCACATTTGGTATTTAAGGAATTTTAAAATGCTACTAACCGTTCAGTTAGACCAGTTTAGATATTTGGAAATAATAATGAGGAAAGCGGGATTGGAGAATTGAACTCATACGGAATTTACTGAAGGTAAGAAAAGCGGAACTGAATAAACGGGCAGCAGAAAAAGGACATAAAAAATGAGAAAAGTGCAGAAGTTACTTAAAGGTAGAAAAGACAGGAAATTAGGGAGGGACATAATTGCTTACGTCCATAAAAGATATGTTATATAAAAAACTTAATTTTAAAGTCAAATCAATGTATTGCAGCAGCAACATTTCCGGTATTATAGAGACTTTTCAAATTGAGGTCTAATATTTGATATCGTTTTCTTTCTTGTTTTCTTTGATTGGAAAACCTTCTTTAATCAAAATCCGATTCAAGGGTTCTTCGAAAGATTTTTCGCATCAAAACCGGCGGAATTTAAACTCAGAACTTATCGAAGAGCTGCCTGATGAGTATTAAAAAGTCATTTCAAATAATGGTGACTTTAATGAATTGAATAAAAAAGCAATTGTACTTTATTTGGTTAATGAATTAAGTTGATAAACAAAAGCGGAAATTATTTATGACTCATTTATTTACTCATCCTAATATAACCGCCATGCAAGTTTTCAGTCTGCTCAAACCTATCGATTTGTTTTCAAAGTTTATATCATTTTTGTCACACAGTTTATAATTTGACATCCAAATCCGGAACATTAAGCTCGTATACTTGTACATACATTTGTGCAAACACAGAATATATATGCACACAGAAATACATTCGTATGGGAATAATTGTTTCTCTTAGTAACAGAAAAAAATATTGTCCGTTTTTTTGGAACAGATGTTGCAATGTAACGACAAAGAGAAAACTCTAAAATTGTATAAGGTATTTTCTTGCGCATAATACAAGAAATATTAAACGAAAACTAAAGACAAAAAGCTGGGTCGTATTATACACAAGTTCAGATTTTCACTCTTTGGGTCCTGTCACTGGATCTAACCAACGCCTTTATCCACTGTGCCATGTGTCCTCACACATGGAACAATAGATAAAGGACACACGGCACAGTGGATAAAGGCATTGGTTAGATCCAGAGTGATCCGTGCTGGCCTTGTTCAAATTGTTGATCACGCTAGATAAACGCTCTCTACGACGACCGGACGGTGTAATTCCCGGAGTGTCCGTCTACGAAATCTCCTTTCTCTCTTTCTGTATATATATACACATGGCACAGTGGATAAAGGCGTTGGTTTGATCCAGTGACAGGACCCAAAGAGTGTGAGTTCAATACCCGGTTAAGGCAGTGGAGAACTTTCAGAGGGAAAATTAACAGGAGATAACTGACATCCATTAAACATGGCACGTGGAACTAGAACAGTCTACCCCAGTGAGCGAAATAAAGGGTTCAGTTCGAAATTCAAACCACCTGAAGAAGGCCGGAACGTACAACGGCCGAAACGTTGTGATAAATATGGCGTCAAAGATGAGGACAATAGTCCGAATAATTTAAATGATGTACATAATACCTGATCTCAGAAACATAGACAGTCTTCATTTTTGTTTGGGGATTCACTATTTGCTCATAACTCGGACCCTAACAGGTGCTACCACTCCCGGTCAGGTTGGACTGGAAACAACAAATTCCAGGTTTCTCAAAACTTTCAATCTCCCTATCTTGCTGCTGGATGTAGATCATCGTCATTCCCAGGACTTCTCTTATTTGAAACAGCAAGATTTCAAATCCACCCAGTTAGCACAATAGATAATAAAACACAAAGTAGGCAGAATTGTTTACAAAAGATATTTGATACGTTAGCAATACTTGTTATTTAGGAAAATTGATTTAATAGGACGTCTTTACATCCACAAGAAAATACGCTAAGTTCATTTACTCCGGAAAGATACTGAATAGTCCTTGCATGTGCCGTAAACATGATTGGCGAGAGTAAATAAAAAAAAAAATGGACATTTAATCTAATTTTTTTTTTTTCATAAGCGAGAATGTTTATTTTAAACGAGAATTTGTTATTTTAAACGAGAATGTGTTATTATAAACGAGAATTTGTTATTTTAAACGAGAATGTGTAATTTTAAACGAGAATTTGTTATTTTAAACGAGAATTTGTTATTATAAACGAGAATTTGTTATTTTAAACGAGAATGTGTAATTTTAAACGAGAATATGTTATTTTGAACGAGAATGTGTTATTTTGAAATAGAATTTGTTAATTTGGACGACAACCTGTTATTTTGAAAGAGAATGTGTTATTTTAAGCGTGAATGTTTTATTTTAAACGAGAATGTATTATTTAAACAAGCATGTGTTATTTTGAACTAGAATTTGCTATTTTGAAAGAGATTGTGTTATTTTAACCGAGAATGTGTTATTTTGAACGGGAATGTGTTCTGAACGAGAATTTGCTATTTTGAACGCGAATGTTTTATTTTAAGCAAGAATGTGTTATTTTAAGCAATAATGTGTTATATTAAGCGAGAATGTGTTAATTTTGAACTAGAATGTGTTATTTTAAACGAGAATTTATTTTGAACGAGCATGTGTTAGTTTAAGCGAGAATGTGTTATTTTAACCGAAGTAAAAATAAGGAATACATGTTTACCGAAATGATGTACATATAATATTTCTCCAACCTTTATTTGTCCTCCATTCTTGTTATAGAATATTTGATGTGACTACAGTTTATCGGGCACACGAAGGAAAGTGGTGACGATAGACGGGATGTTTTTGTATTTTCTTAAAACAATTGAATTACCATCAGCATATTAATTTTCTTTTTTTTTACACGAAACAATTGAATTAATTTTCCTAAACAACAATAAAAATCAATATCATGCTGACATAAAGAAAACCCTAACCTTAATTCAATTGTTTCGATTAAAAAAAAAAGAAGTTACTTTATAAGCGAGCGATAAATCTCTTCTCCTTAACTGGAGAATAATTCGCTACTGTTTTTCATAAGCATGTCCGGTAAACGGTAGTTAAGCTGAATATTTCAAGATATGCGGATGTGTTAAAGTAACTGTTGGGTCACAGTGAATCCAGCAGAGAAAATGATAAAAAAAAAGAAAAGGAAAGAAACGGTTATATTAAAGCAGAGATAGATAGAGAGGACACAGGAAAATATTCAATACAGACGAAGTGGAGTTAAAGATTAGACATACAATCATTTTCTAAGAGAATGAAGCAGGCTGACCAAGAAAGAGCACCAAAATCACCATTACTGTTTGTGGAAAGTACTCCGCTGGGATCTCTTAAGATGACTGTAATTTCAACATTCAAAGAAAAAAAAAAAAGAAGAAAATGTGTAGGGACAAACAGAATTTTAATTAGAAAATACGTATTAGGTTGGTGCAAAAATAATGATGTAATA